TAATGCCTGAAGTCGCTTTAAAATGTTTATGTATCAGTGTTTCCACATGTATTTAGCGATAAAATCACTGTTTGTTCGATTGATTGATTGATTGATTGTTTATTGTTTAACGTCCCTCTCGAGAATGTTTCACTCATATGGAGACGTTACCGTATGCCGGTGAAGTGCTTCAAATTTTGACCTATACTAGGCACTCAGGGCCATTGAGCAGTGAGGGATCTTTATCGTACCAACGCCTGCCGCTGACACGGGGCCTCGCTTTTTAAGGTCTCATCTAAAGGACCCACAACTTTAAACTGCCAAGCGCATGGTGAAGGAACAGTTGCTACCCATTTTAACCACTAGTCGCAGCCGAGATTCGAACTCACGACCTCCCGATCACGGAGCGAGCGCTATACCGACTGAGCTACCGTGAACGGTCACTGTTTGTATTATCTCTAAAATATATGCATAATGTGATCTATTCTAGGATTGAATTTTTCAATTTTGAAAAAAAAAATGCTTATTGCATAGGAAAAATGCGAGAAATCGTGGGAATTATAAATCATTATATCTTAAAATCATAACATCTGTACATGTATGTTAAATGATCACTATTTTGAAATTCTTGATATTGACCATTAAGCAAGGTTAAAGTTTAAGCTTTTGAATGAAAAATAAATTTAGAGAAAATTTATTTGAAATTGCATTATCTCTTGCCATGTGTAAATTATATCTTATGTCTTTAAAAATTTCAGCAAAAAAAAAAAAAAAAAATGATATCTTGAATTTCTAATAGAGTAAAAAATTTCAAACAAAAAATCCTTATGATGGCGAATATTTTGCATAACGATGATTTAAATAAAGCTCTTAATGCAATTCTATTTTGTTAATATTTTTCATTGAAAATTCTTAATTTGATGACTTGGGAAAACTTTATATTCAGTGGGGTATGTAATGTGAAATTAATAAAAAAACATAGAGATAAATGTTTCATGTAATTGCCTACATATTGATTGCTTATACTCATAATTGACCGATCAATTTATCATCAAACTTTTTATACAAAGTAAGATCAAATGTTTAAGGAAAATTCGAAGCTATGTTTTGCAAAAATTGTGTTATCGCGAGGCTTCTAAACGTAGCTTTATCTCCTATGTTTTCAGAGCACTTTACAGTATATTGACCGTACACATGCATTTTATAGTGTCTAAAACACATGGAACCTTGTAGGGGAGTCTATCTGATAAACGATCCATTTTCTGTTTTTGTAAATCTGTTGTTTGTGACGAATAAATTAATGTAGAGCAAATGAAAAGTTGAATTTCATTTCTGATTGCAGCGAGTTTATCGACATTTCAATTTATATGTTTCATTTTAAAAGTTTCTGTTGGTGATACTCATAACTGCCTGTATTAATCAGATAAATCAGACAAAGTACACTGTCACCATGCCAACCCAATGCGAGCTCAATTTTTAGAAAGTTATACATTGTAAATGCATTTTCACTAAAAATTAGACCGCCTAAATCCATATTTGGGGTCTGAAGTCTAGGTTCTGTACATTTGATTTTATTACTGGAAGATGACAGTTTTGTTCATCATAAGTGTACAAACTTTACCTATCAAACATCAATAACTTTCAGTACTTTCAGTCCTTTGAACTGATATCCTGTTGTTCGTCTTCATGTCATCCGTCTGTCTGATTAGTTGGCTCTCTGTTTGGTTCTCAAGAACCACTGGACCATTTTAGCTGAACTGGACGGGAAGCATCTTTGGTTGAAGGGAAGTAAAATTATTAAGCTGAAGGGAATAATCCCCATGCAAAGAGATATAGTCAAGAAAAGGCACAAAAATAGGCACAAAAATAAGTGTCATTAAAAGTATCTTAACCACTAGGCCAGAAAAGTGAAAAATATGGAGATAACGAACAGTATTCAAGATCAAAAGTCCATAAAATAATACAAAAAAGAGACAGAGTAAAAACAGACCTTCAAAACATCAGAAATGGGATCGAGTGCCATTAAGAAGTGAGCATCCCCTGCCGACCGGTCACACTCGCCATGAGCTCCTTTTATTCATGAAATAACGGGAAAATCCGTTGTTGAGACATTTTAGCTTGCATAAGATAACTTTCATGTAATGCGCACATACCCTTGCTTAATTTTATTGGGTTTTTTTTTCTATACATTTGTAAGCAGGGTTTATATTTTGTATTAATTTGTATCACTTTTGCTACAATAACGATACATTACAACAAAGTTATCCGATAATGACTGAAGTTCATTTCCTCAAAAATACCACTTTTACACTTTCAATTAATTATTTACTTTGAATGAATGTTAAATGGCGGTGAAATGTCGGGAAAATAATAAATCATTACTCCCCGATAAATTGCAGGCCACAAAAGGGAATCCATATTTCGCATAGAAACATACATGTATAGGAAAACCTTTTCAAGAACCAATGTGTCAGAAAAGCTTACCCTTATGTGATGGTATCCCGGGGTAGTGTAGGTGGAAATTGTTCAAATCAAGACTCCCAGTGCCAGTGTCGTGTCACAATTGGGAATCAAAGTTTGACATTGAAATATATAGGACAAATCTTTAAAAATCTTATCAATAATCACGGTGACAGAAAAGTTCAAATATATTGGAAATATCCTGGGATATTGTAAATTCTTAATTGTTAAATCTTGACCCACAGAGGAAGGTCGGGGCAAGAACAGGGAATCCAAGTTTTCCAATGAGTATTATAGGAAATATCTTCAACAATCCTCCAGAGAACCACAGGGCCACAAAAGCTGAAAATTATGTTGAATTATTTTAAGTTGGTGTAAATTCCAAATTGTAAAACTTATAACCCCCGGGATTTAAGCAAGGCACAATAGGGAATCCAAGATTTACATTGAAATACCGGTATATGGAAAAAATTCTCAATAATCATAGAACCCGAAAAGTTGAAACCTGTGTTGAAGTATACTGAAGTAGTGTAGATTCCAAATTTTTCAAATTATGAGGTTGAATCATAATAGGAAATCCAAGTTCTACATAGACATATGCATGTTTTTTTTTAAATATACTAGCTTTTGGAGAACAATCTGGGATACTTTAGATTTTAAATTGTCATCCCAAGAATATGCCAATTTACTTAAATATTGCTTCACTGTAAGAAAATTGGAAATTCTAAGGGTGATGATGCCTGTAGATATTGTCATGAAGTTTTAGAAAATTCCGAATGACCTTCTTGTTGACGGCTGTAAATGATGTTTAAAACAAGCTAATTCAGAGAATTCGTGTCCCCCGGTTAGGGAAAATGTAAATCATGCGCAGTTTGGTGTGAAGGAGATTAAGTCGGATCTCCCTGACTGAATTTGAACTAATTTTATGAGTTTGTGCATGCCATACCTAATTTTTTTTTTCATTTCACATGCTGAATACTATCATTTACACTGTAGTAAAAAGTATTTCGAACTATTTCGAAAAAAATAAAACGATTCGTCCGGTATTCGAACCCAGCACCTCTCACATGGGCAGCGAGAGGCATACCACTAGACACACAGGCACCTGAAGTGTAATTTATGACCCCCCCCCTTTTTTATGACAAAAAATGTAAGAGTCTCTAATATCCGAAAAAAAAATTCCCCGTCAAACACATCTATATGTCTTTATATGCAAGCAGATTGTACTTTTTCTGGCGTTTAAAGAATGACCCTATTCGATATAATAAAAATACACAAGGTAAGAACAAAAAGTTGTAAACAAACGGAGGACAAATTCATGAAATTACCAAGGTAATAGTTAGTGTTACCTATCATAAATTTGCAAGCACTCTGTCTGGGAGATGTTCTTTTACTAGTCTCTTAAACCTAAACCCCGGTATTAGCGTTTGACATGCCGTAATCGGACGATTTATTAATCCAATCGGATACATAAATTTTTCTCCATTGACAGCTTTGGAAGAGGTAATGAACTCGCATTTCTGTTTCACCTTATCTGATTGATTAATTGTAATGCAGTTTAAATATCTAAATAATCAGATAAGACAAAACTGAAAAGCAACTCTAACTGTTGTGAGGGCTTGTCCCGAGACACAGTTAGATTATTCTAACTAAGAACCGCCAATCATTTACTACTATCGTTTTGCCCTCAAATCATGATCATCATTTTAATGAATTATTCTTTCTCCAAATATACTTGGTTACAAATAGTTATTAAATCCAATGTCAGATCGAATTTTATCCGATGAAATGAACAAAATAATTCAATGAAACATAAAGAGATAACGAACACCGCATTGTTTAACAATAATTAAAAAAAAACTTGTCATGTTTTACTGAGTAAAATGAACGAGTGTGAGAGCGTAGCTTTTAATTTTTCATATAGAGTTTCACAATAAATAGATTTACACTGAAAACATTTGTAGAGATCGATAAGGATTGTTGTTGAAAGGTACAATTTTGAGCATCAGAGATGCTTTACAATTTATTTGTATTTGAAAAAACTCATGAATAGAATTTAGAATTTTTTGAAGCAATAATAGGCCAATACACATGTACCAATCCAGGCATACATTTTTTCTTTGTGTCATCTGAACTTAAATACTTTTAAGCTCTTCTAATATGCATGTTTATATGAATTGTCATTACGTTTAATTTTTTACTCTGCAAATATTATGATGTCATGGCATTTGTATTTTGCACTCGTGACCATTAACTTTAATCCACTATTTTTTGGTCTATATTAAATTTTACAGTCTTCATTCAAATCACTTTTAAAAACAGACTTAAATAAATAGCGCTATTTAAAGTCCACGTCATACATGTATAAATGTAGTATGCTTGGATGTTATATATTTTATAACTTAGTGGATTTTTTTTCGGTGTAGCCTTCACATACCTGCATAATTTAGCCTCATCATGTTGAAGATAACAAAAAAAAATAGAATCTAACTTTAAAAATTTTTGTCATATAGCAATTTTCACTACTTTTCTCTAACACATTTCTTTAATTTATGAAACAGGTGTATGTGTTTTTTATAACAACACACAACTTCAAACAGATAACAACATAAATTGTAGCCAATCCTCTTCGTGCCCTAGCCGATTTCTGTCCTCAGAGGCCCACCTATGTAAGTAGAAAAAATTTCATCGCCTAAAGTCTGTATGTTTATCTTTAAAACACGTAGGATAAAAATTATTATGATAATAATATAATAGTAATGTATTGCTATTGTAGACGATCCTTGTAAATCAATCGAATTAACATCAACAATTCCATTGACCAATAAAACAGTGACTTTTGTTCATGAAGATAATTCAGAAGTGCATACCACTGTCTTCATGTAAGTACACTTTAACATATGACATTTTCTTCTTGCATTTCATTTTGAAGTATGCATAAATAAATTGATAAATTGAATTTAAATTCATTGAATGTTCTAGATTACTTGCGGTAATAATTCTTGTTTGTATTGGATTGGCCTTGTTCATTCTTAAAAGACGGAAGGACAGACAGAAAAGGAGTAGAAAAAGTTTGTATATTTTAAATAAGTAACTTCATTTAGTCTAATACAAATTAAATTTGAAAAAAAAAATAAATTCGTGACACTTTCTGAAAACTATTAAATATCATCTTTTCACGTCCTTTCTCTTGATTTTCAGTGTATTGTCGTATATGTTTCTGCAGGTACATTTGAGGGCAATGTTACGATCTTGATAAACGTACTGCAAATGTCATGAATTCTTGGAAATATATTAGTTATACCAAAATTTAATGTAGGTGACCAGACAAATATTCAACCTGTCGTCTAACTAATGTTATTTAAGCAATTAAAGCAATATGATCTGCAATTTTGATATCGGAATTGTCTGTTCAAAAAAATGTATTTAACTATTTCTATGATAGAAAAAAAATATATCAATAAAAAACTTCTGTTTATATTTTCGATGGAAGAACTGTTTATAAGATTCGATTGAATCAAAATTACATTATTGTCGGACTGCACAATTATGATTTCTTATATAAATCTATAGAAACATCTAAGAGTCGTTGTTTTATAATGAGATAAGCTCTATCATTTATTTTTTTTCTGTCCAAAGTTGGCCTAGACCTAAAAGGCACAATTCTTCTTTGATTTGCAAAATTCATTTTTCACGCTACGTACATAAGTATGAAAAATTTAACATACAGTTTCTACATTAAATCCCTACCTCTTTAGTTTACTTGAAATAGCAAACAGAACTTGTCTTCCTTGTTCAGCAGCATGCTTCTGTGTTTTTTTTTAATCCATTAAAATTAAATTAAATACCTAGATAATCAAATGTATTCACAATTTCTAATTCAGCATCATTATAGAACCAGGATTTGTTAATGCGTACTTTACCAGCATTTCCAAAGACAACAGTCATTGTTTTTGTTACATTAACATAAAGGCTCCATTCTTCTGTATAACTGCACAGTGTGTTTAAACCTTCTGGAGATTCAGCAAAAATAACTATGTCGTCTACATACATAAGTATGAATAAATTTAACATCTGCTAATCAATATATGGATAGTTATCTGATATAAAATCAACCTCGAAACAACACATATGGTGAATATAATAATGGTGATAATGTTTCCCTTGCATTAAACCAATATCATTGTGAAAATAAACACTGAGAAAACCGTTGTATTTAACACAATTTTTAACATTATTGTAAAGAGATTTGATTTTCTTTAACATTTTACCTTGAATGCCTAAATGAAATAATTTTTGCATAATTTTATCCTATCAACAGAAACAAATGCTCCAACAAAACAACAAAATAATCTTTTCTTGGTAGAAAGGTACTTATTTTTAAGCGATTGCACAAAAAAACATCAGTTGTTGACATTCTTTTACGAAACCCAAATTGTGCATCAGTCAATATATCATAGTGCTCCAATTCCACTATCCTATTGTTAAGAACACTTGTAAATAATTAATAAGTAATAACCATACAGCTAACAATAGATATACCACGATAATTGTTGACATCATTCTTATCTCCTTTTTTAAACAATGTATAAATGAAACATTTTGACCATGATTCAGTGTAATAACCGGAGTTAAAAATATTATTAAAGAGTTAATGGAACAGCGGGAGCAATTCGTCGCGGAATTTCATAAACAGTTCGTTGACTACGATCTTCTTCACAACTTTTGTTTATTTTTAACTTTTTAATTGTTGTTCATATTTCTTTGAAACTAATCAATGATTCCAAATGGTCGAACACAGCATCCGAATAAAAGTCTTTTTTTCAAGTTGTCGCCCGTGTTATAACCGAGAATTTTAAAATGAGTGAAGAAATCTTCTAAACTTAAATTACAATCAACATGGATTGTCTTTTTTGTTTTAAAAAGTTAAAAAAAAGTTTTGAGTTCTGTTTCTTCAAAAAAGTAATCATATCGCCCTCATTGCGTTTGTGTTGTCGATGAAGTTTTTTTTTCAATTTTTTTGTAAGTTTGTAGTTAACGTAAACGATAAAATGTAGCGTCATAACGTTATACAAACACAATTAACTTCCTTAGATTTTACAAAAAATTCATGGACAAACAGTTTTACTAACCCAGTTATTAATTTAAAAAACATTATTTTTGGTAACAGAATATATTATTACGCAGTATAAAATCGGTACGATCGAAAAGCTATACAACTTTTTAAATTCAATATGCCAATTATATATCATCGACATAACAGATGATTCCACAGCTCAAATAACCTGCACTGCAGAGAAGAATTAAGAGGGTTTCATAAAATTTCAGAAATTGCCAATTTAACCTGGTTTATATGCAAATCTATAGTTTTATAGTTTTATATTTGTGATAGATATTGTATATGTTAAATGTTTTAAGTAAATGATATTTTCAAGCTTTGAATTTTTATTTGTATTTGTGCAATCATAGCATTGTTTTCACCCCAGTCTATAATATACTCAGAGAAAAGTAACTTATGAAGAGAGGGTTATGGTAGATTTTCCAATAAATTCAAAACGCGTCTCTTAAAAAAAATCAAGAATATTTTGATCACAAGTTACAAGAAGAAAGGTTTTTTTTTTCGAAATAAAGACAGGTTCTTTAATTAAAAATATTTCATTTGAAAATCACGCATTTTCAATTAAAAATTAACCATATAATTTTTCTGTTTAAATTCTTCAAAATTGTATCTTCTACACAATCAACTTGTTTTATGTTGAAAGTTTTAAACAATATGAGATGAAGTGCATTTTGAGAAATTTATTTTGCTTTATAATTTTAAAATCTGTCTTTGTGATAAAATTGTGAGAAACTTAAACATTAATGATCAATTAGAAAAAGAAAGTATTAAATTGTTTCTAAAGAAAGACATCTGTGCAATCAAATATTCTAGCACTATTTATGGAAACAATATTGCACAATACGAAAGTAGAATATGAAAGAAAATTCTTGAAATATTAAATGATAATTTAGTAACAGAAAATGTTGACATCAAAGTTGCAGCTCATATTGCTTAAAACGTATTATCTATCGAATATAATTTTGACAGCTATCTTAGCCTGAAATTTTTCAGATTCTTAAGCTAGTTGAAATTGCTTTTTACTCGAGATCAACTAAGATGGGGTGGGGGGAGGGGATGGTGGGGGTTAACTTCCTGTCCAAATTCGGGTCGAACAGTTTTGACCAAAATATACATACATGTACACAGGGTAGATATTGTCATGTATAAAATATACAAAAAATAACAAAAAGAAGATGGGGAGGGGGAATTTGTTGTACATCCTTAATTAAACAAACATTTATTTTAAAATAAGTTTAGTTTTAAAATTATTTTTTATCTTTTAATAGCATCTGAAAGAAAAATACTTTATATTAAATCAATATAAAATCATTACAACTTACATTAATTTGCATGCCAAAAATACCCTCGCGTTTTACGATTTTCCCTGCCTTGCAAATTGTTCTATCCACAAGCTCTTTAGTACTTTTTGCGGTATAAAAAAACCCTACTTGAACCTTCAAACGAGTCGCCAAAAATATATTTCGAACTGACTAATCGTGATTTTAAGTTTTTGTTAAGTTTGTTCAAAGGTAAGAAATAGTTATCATACCCCTGCTAAAAATAATAATAATCGTTATGTCCGTCCGTCCATACGTCCGTCTCTCTGTATGTCCGTCTTTTACGTTTGGGGTACTCATCTTTATTCGCAACTCCTCTCATACAACTGAATGAAATTTGACGAAACTTTCACAGATTCTTTCTTACACATTGTCAATGTGACCTTCTATTTTATATTTTGATCTGAAACATATTTTGGGTTTACAACAACAAAACATGGATACTTCCATTATATTCATATGGGAGGTGGTGGAATCATTTAATAGTTAGCTCATTGCTCAAAGCATCTCTAGACTCCGTGGGGATCCGGCTTAGAATAGGTCCTCAGTACCCCCTTGCTTGTCGTAAAAGACTACTAAATGGGACGGTTCTTCGGATGAGACCGTATAAACCGAGGCCTCTTGTCACAGCAGGTGTGGCACAGTAAAGATCCCTTCCTGTTCAAAGGCCGTAAGTGCCGGGCATAGGCCTAAATTTGCAGCCCTTCACCGGCAATGGTGACGTCTCCATATCAGTGAAATATTCTGGAAAGGGACGTTAAACAGTAAACAATCAATCAATCAATCAAAGCATCTCTATTTTTTTTTCATTCTTTTATTTTATAATATTGTCCACAAATCAAACTGCTACATATATAAATATACTGAGTCCTTGCGTACATAAATAAATAAAGAATGGATTAATGAAAGAATGATGATTATAATTTTAATAACAATATCTAAATTATTCTTTAAAAATATTGATGTGCGTAGTTCTATCATGAGTGCCAATGGTGGAATATGCGAACTTTTCATCTTTTTGAACTAAATTCAATGATATATGGAGACCGTACTGGCTGATTGATTATGGTGTTTTATGCGGAGTCGGCAATATTTCAGCCTTATTTCGGCGGAATAAACATAATGATACCTAATACCTCATGTAACAAACAACTTTCATTACTTAACATTGCTGAACTATCACGCTGATTACTAATTACATAATTTTGAATCATACTCATTTTTAGTTTACATTATCTTTTAATACCGTTCAGCAGATTTCATTATCTTTTTTCAAATACATTCAGGTTTTGAAGAAGAAGAAATTGTTCCTTTGCGTCATATAGGAAGAGAAGAGGTTACTTTTTTGCCTAGAGGTGAGAAGATAGATGGATGTAACACTCATATAGAAAAATATTTCTTTTTGTATTTCTGCGTCTACATGTTTGGTTTAAGATATACTAGGTATGACAATAAGCATAAAAAGGTATTAATCTACATGTACCATCTTGAGGTGTTTTTTTTTTATTTTATTCTCCCGGGATAGCAGGCATATTGACTACTTTACTATACAGCAGATTTTTCTCCAAGGAAGAGTTTTGGTTAAGATATTTAAGAAGAGGTCCATGCTCCCTATTGCATACCTAAGCAATCTGACTAGGAAAAAGCTAGTTCAGTATTGAACAGGTGGTAGGGAGGTTTGCACACACTTAGATTTACATTACCTCAGGTTGCTTCCATATCAATATTACTAATCATAGCTTTGCTGTTTTTTCAAAGAAGGATTTTTCCCTTCTGTATTCCTATCGCACTTTACCCCAATATTCCCAATTTAAATATGAACAAACTTGAAACTTCAATAGATTTGGGTATTTCTTTAGTATTGTGACTAATCGGATTCCCTGTTCTTGAGCAAAAGATTTTTTTGCAAGGTGGTGTATTTATTGATCGGGATATTTTCGGATTTAGTATATACATGTATCGCATGCAACTGTACGGTTTCTTAGATATAGGTAAGTTACTGTAATTTAGAGCAAACGTGACATGTTTCCTGCTAGAAATGAGAAAAAACTGCACAGTTGATGCATGCTTTGCCCACACCGGGATGATATGTACTTTCATTTTGGTTGAAAATGGATTTCCCCCTTCTGATATCCACCTATATTTCTTGTCAAATTATTCACTTTATTCTAAACTTAAAATATTATCATTCCATATCTTGACTACCCTTTATTACCATCTGGTTGTTTAAGAAATAAATCCTCGTTTTTGTGAATGTTGCAGAGTAACCTTCGAGGTCGAGGAATGTTGATTGAAATATAAAATCCGAAATTTCGAGACCGAAGAGGTTATTTTGCGTCATTGACGACAAGAAGGACTTTATTTCTACTCCACTAACAAATACGACCGATCGTTCTCTAAGCGGATTACATGTATGTTACCGTGCTGCGATAACGCTGTTTCATTTAGCATAAGAATGTGAATTTGTTTGTTTACCTGTGAACGGAATGCAGACGATTTGTACTTATGCCACAGTAAAATTAGCTTTTAAAGTACGGCTATTTATAAGAACCAGGCAGAAATGAAAATAAGTTATTCATGATAGTGATAGATGTTTCAAAAACTATCATATTTACATTAAGATACATAAGACTAAATACTTTATCGCAGTTATAAATGGATTTTATGCATAGTTGATTAAAAGATGAATTCAATATATACTGAAACAGTCAACAATATCCATTGAAAAGTGTCTGTACGTGCAGGTGATTTTTTAAGAAGACCCGCACTCTCCTTAAATGTGAATTATAAAATATTGAACATCTAGTATTAAAGAGTAAAAAAACAATTAAAAAAACCCATTGGTTATTTTAATTACGGATAGATATTGTGATTTTAAATTTTGTACAAACATGAAATTCTAGTTATCTCCCTTGGCACTCTTTAGTAAAAGGAGTTGGAAAGAGTGTATTTAACTCTTCAGTTTAGAAGGTGAGGATTAAGAAATGTGTGTGATTTCATCTTCAAGTTTTGCCCATTTTCATACATTTAAAGGGGCATGTAAGTCTAAAAATTTTTATTAGGAAAATATAAGCTTAGGATAAAAAAAAATAACTGCCTGCAATTTGCTTAATTTTATCTGACAAAAACAAAATTCTATTTCCTAAATATGCTAAATGAGAACAGAGTTTGAGTGTTTTGAAAAAAGCTAACTTGTTTAACAATAACATCAAAACTACTTAAATTCAGTTAATTTTAAGGAAAAACATTTAATTTTGTACTGGACTTTGAACACTAGCTCGCTGCTGGGGATTACAGTACGATGAGTATCTCTCCTTTCCGTCGATAATCCCTTAGTACTGCAATATATACACAGTCGACTGGAAGAAGTCCTCGACCTCAGCATACATGAAGTCATAGAAAGAAGCAGTGAAAGCCACAGCAGAGATTGGTTAAAGCATATTTTTTTCTATGTCTCGGCGCCTCTATGGATGTCATTTTTAGATCAGGTATTTAATACATAACACAGACCAATGTCTAAACAAAGACACTATTGACTATTTTCTTCAAATTGAAAAAGGGGAAAGTCGAGAAAAATTGATGGCAAACATACAGGCTGACTGCTATTAAAAGTTATCAGTCCTGCTTAAAATCTACCAGCCTGAGAAAATAATTGTCTTTTGTAAAACTGATGTTTGAAACTAGAGATACGGTGAGCAATGAGCAAATGATCCCCCGCGCCTTTTATGTGAATATAATAGTGTCCATGTTTTGCTGTAGGAAAGTATTATATTTTTAATGCCATACTTTCATACAATACCACTATTTTTTTGCCTAATTTTACTCTTAAACACAAGAAATCTCTGACAGGAGCTTCTGGGGCTTTGCCCCCTGGACTCCTTTCATTCAAACTATGGTATGACTAACATATGATTGTACTTTAGAACATCACTATCAAGACCCCTTGCCTGAACAAAGTTATCCACGCCACCTTTCCCCTTTTAATCACAAATCCAGTACTGCTCATGATACCATTAGTTGATTCGGAAGCGATTAATCAAATTGATAAATTTTATTTAATGAAAACTTTAAACAAGTCCAGCTGGGCATCGATATATATATATGTGCAAACTGGTATGCCCATAGCAAAATTTGTGCGTATCGAGCGGTCAGGCGCACTGTTTTTTCAAACACTTTTTGAAATGTCCAATGGGTCCTTCTTAAAATCGTGAATATTAAATTAAGCCCTGAAAAAAACCCAAATGTTATGGCAAAACCATAATTACTATTTTTCTTATTAATTTAATCAAAATGTAAAATTGTGTCCTTTCAAACTCTATATTTCCAAACTTATATGTGTATAATATTCTTCAAATGCATTTCCTTTTATTTGAATTATAAATAAGGGTGGGGAGTCCTACACAATTTAAATTGGCAAACAAAACAACCAATAAAATACTGTTATGGTTTTATCAGTTGAAACGGGGGGAGGGGGTGTTAACCTCCCCAAAAATTCTGAAAAAGCCATAAAACTCTATCCGGATGGGGGGGGGGGGGGCTTCCCAAATATTATTCCTACAAGCAAATCTAAACACACATAGAAAGAGAGAAATCTATAAATTTGAGAGAACATACAATATGCATGGGTTTCTGCCAATGTTTTCATCTAGTTTAGGTTGAAAACGTAAAAAATAAAATTTGATCCTACAAAACTATAACTCTTTTTCAATTTATAACTGGCAATAGTATGAATTCATGATGATAGCACTAGTACATGGGGGAGGGTAAATAAATATTTTATTATCAATAAATCGAAAGCTAAATTGTTACATAAATGTATGGATTCTCTTGTCATATGATGAATTTCATGATTTGTTATCATTTCAGATGCAATCTGAGCCTTGTTCTGAATTTCAAAATCCATTTTGCCGACACCTGCACAGCTGATGTAATGTAAACTTAAAAATTAAGGAGCACCGTAACCAAGAAAAGATTATCAGTTCAACTAACGTTAGTGTTATATATAATTTATATTATTTATGTAACATTAGATATTTCGGTATTTTGTGCTGACAACTTGCAGTTTTTTTTATTATCATTAAGAACATTCCTTTTCGTTTAGCAATCAAGAACCTTCTGACTAAGTGCTTAATTATAGTGAACACTGTCATTCAGAGACTTTGAAACAGGTATTTCTTTTGATCTTAATTTTCTGAATTTTTTAGCTCACCTGAGTCGAAGGCTCAAGTGATCTTTTTTGATAAAAGTTTGTCTTTTGTCTGTCATTGTCATTCTACAAGGGGAGAGAATTACAAAATTAATAGCATTACTGATATCGTCTCAAGAACCAATGGCCCAGGAAATATAAAACTTATGTGGAACCATTGTCGGGTAGTGTAGATTCAAATTTTTCAAATCATGAACCCCAGGTATAGGACGGGGCCATTAGGGTGATCAAAGTTTAACATAGGAATATATATAAAAAAAAATTAAAATCTGCTTCTTGGATAAAGCAAGCCTTAATTGGTAATATTTATATGAAAGCATTTTCAGGTGGTGTAGATTCAAGTGTGATCAAATCATAACCCTGGGGATAGGGTGGGACCACAAAGGCCAATAAAAGTTTGATATAAGAATATAGAGAAAAAATCCTTTAAAAATGTTCTTCTAAAGAACAGAAAAGCCAGTACGTTATATATACATATGGAAGTATTTAGTGAAGATTTGTTCAAATCATGACCCCCCCCCCCCCCCCGTATAGGGTGGGGCCACCATAAAAGTTCAAACTTGTAGGTAAAAACTCACAGTTATTCAAAAATAAGTATCCCGTAAGCATCCTTAGTGTAGATTCAGTTATGTTCAATTATACCCCCCCCCCTTTCTCTCTCTCTCCCTTAGGGGGAGAGGTCAGGACCACATATGCTTTTTTTAAGGCTTTTCAAAGCTGATTTTTTATTTTTTATTTTTATCAAATCAAGGTGAATGATGTTGCCCTGGGTCTCTTGTTAAATCATTTATCTACATATAGACGATGGTGACGCCAATGTCCGATGGTCTCGCCAAACCCCGATGGTCTACACCAAACCCCGAAGGTTTGTTTTCGGTACGGACGCCAAAGTCCGATGGTCACGCCAAAGTCCGATGGCTCTTTTCCTTTGAGACACGCTGCGCTAAAGTGCGATGGTCTGACACGCCAAAGTCCGATGGTGTGGAGAAACAATCGACGTTTATGACGTCAAAATAATTCGACGTCAATCCTTGATGCCGTTTTCCTGCATGCATTCAAATGCCATAATTTCCGAATTTATCCTTGCATACGCTTTTATTCATTTTGTGTATTGCTTACATGTTTCAGAGATATTAGGATTAATCCTAGCACACCACTCGACTGATTAGGGTTAGTCCATTTAGTTTTATTGATTTAGGGTTAGTCCTCGCACACTAGTCGAGTTATTAGGATTAGTATCGCACCCACCCAAGATATCTAAGTATCTAAATAGATGTTAGGCCTACACACTTTTCGAGCGATTAGGGTTAGGTAAGTACCTGTCCGAGAGATAGGGGTTAGTTTTTGCATAATATACAATTATGGACTTCAGTGTAGGTTGATATGTGGTCATTTTCTGTGTCTGAGGTCAATATCAATTGCAATGAGTCCTTATAACCACATATTGACCGTTCACTGAAGTCCATAATAGTTATATTATATAATCACTCAATCTGAATGCAATACAGTCCTAACTGAACGGACTCGTCTGTCATTACGTCACAATGGTTAAAAACACACTTCTTATATTATGACGTCACAACTTACGTAACTTCAGTGCAACCGAACGGCGTGTCGTGCAATATCATTTTCCGCGGACGCGCTTTGGCGTCGCTATCGCAAAAGGAGGAATATCATGTGACATCCTTTTGGCCAATGAAAATTACGAAAATAATCTGCTTATATAATATTATATAATTATGGACTTCAGTGTAGGTCGATATGTGGTTATAAGGACTCATGACAATTGATATTGACCGATGACACAGAAAGTGATACGAGCGAGCCTGCGAGGTCGCTATCATTTTCTGTGTCTGAGGTCAATATCAATTGTCATGAGTCCTTATAACCACATATTGACCGTTCACTGAAGTCCATAATAGTTATATTATATAATCACACAAAGTGAATGCACCGACATACTTCCTAACTAGACGGACTTGGCTTTCATTACGTCACAATGGCTAAGAACACGTTTCCTATATTATGACGTCACGTTTACATGTACGTAACTTCAGTGCA